TTTATCCCCTTCAAACAAGTGATAATTTATTTTTCTCTGCAGTTTGAAATAGCAGCACCTGTGTAACCTTAGTTAATGAGACCAGCTACAAGCACCTTCCTGCTCAGTGAATGTCCTGCCAACTCGACAAACATTTTCCTTTTAGAATGCAAGCCAACTTGAAAGCCATATTCCTGCCAACTGAATAAAAGGGAATTATCACCAGCGCTCTCTAACATTATGAGTGTGTGTTTCTGGGTATATTTTCTAAAAAGACCAAGAGATTTCATATGAATAGTTAAACTGTTTGTGAGAAAGTTCCACACTGCTTTTTCTACATGTCTACAGTTGTGAGTGTCACGGATGTTCTCCAAGTAAAGATTTGCACAACCACAGGATATTGGTGGTAATTGAAAATCAGTGTGGAATGGCTGCATGCAGGAGCTTTAAGTCTCTTCATATCCTAAAACCAGCCACCCTAAATACAGACTAGGGGGATAAGACTAGAAGAATGATCTTGTCGGCAGTATTTTTTCCACTGGGAGCAAATATAGTTTTGAGTTTTTATCAACAACAATTTTTAACATATATTCAGGGGAAATATCTATTATTTGTGTCAGTTTAGTAATGGAATAGCAGCATTTTCAAGGTTTGTGTTCTAATTCAGATGTAAAGCAATTATCTGTTTTCTTGGCAAGGTTTATTTATTCAGAGAGGTTTGCCATTCTCTTTCTTCGAGGCTGAGAGAATCTTACTTACCCAGTGTCACCCAGAATCCTTGTCCAGCAATCAAACCACTACAGTACACTGAGTTGTGCTGAGAAAGACAACGCTTCTTCTCTTTTGCACTTGGGATGTCCTTTTCAGGCTGGCAAGGCTACACACACACACTCCTAGAAGCATTCTTGGAGTCTTGACTACTTTTTGCGGTTAAGCAAAATTTAAGCTTCAGTTTGCCTCTCCAGAAGGAAGGGACACTAAATCTTTCCAGTCTGTTCATATTTCTTTGAGCACTTCCCCCCTTATTTTTCTCAATCATTTTCCCCTGCCCCTCAATTTCATTTTTGCACACACCTTCTCAATGCCTCTCAACATGTCCAATAGAGAAAAAAAGGAGACATAATACCTATGAAGAACTGCTTACTTTAGTTATTGTTTGTTCCTGTAGGGTACTGAAAGTTGGATTCTGTTTAACTGGCCGATTAAAACTACAAGAAGGAGAACATATCCCTCATGCACATACTCATCACAATTTCCTGCTGACACAGCCATGTAATTGGGTGGGCAGGACAGAAACTGCCAAGGTTGTCATCCAGCTGTAGTCAGGTAGTTGGTGCACAATGACAATACATTCTCCAGCACCTCTGGAAGACCCAGTAGATCCCAGAAGCTGCCTGCATCATCATGCACTGGCAATTCAATATTTGTCAGAATTGACTTATGGGGGCTGAAGTACAATCATACAATCATAGTTGGAAGAAACCTCATGGGCCATCCAGTCCAACCCCCTGCCAAGAAGTAGGAAATTGCATTCAAAACACTCCTGACATGACCACCCAGCCTCTGTTTAAAAGCTTCCAAAAGAAGGAACTTCTACCACACTCCAGGGCAGAGAGTTCCACTGCTGAACAGCTCTCAGAGTCAGGAAGTTCTTCCTAATGTTCAGATGGAATCTCCTTTCTTGTAGTTTGGAGCCATTGTTCTGCGTCCTAGTCTCCAGGGCAGCAAAAAACAAGCTTGCTCCCTCCTCCGTATGACTTTCTCTTCTGATCAAATACCGCCTTGCAAAGACTGCCTTGTTGAGTTCTTCTGGCAATATGGTGTCATTTTTAGCTGGAGCAAGGGGACCAACTTCTAATCTTCCAGATGTCACTGGATGCAATTCCCAGAACCGTTTCTCCCTCATTATTCTTGTGGGGCTATAAGGGTTGCTTCGTAAGAGGATCATAGGTTGCTCACTTCTGAGATATAGCAGTTAGCAGCCAACATGGTGGCCAGAATCTGGGATGTCAATCCAGCATCCCAAGTGAGATTACCCAACATACTTTCCACAGAGGGATAAAAAAAAACATTTGTTAAGCCCTTTGAGGCAATTGACAAATACACTTCACACACCAAACAGCCAAAGAAAAAACTTTTCAAACCAGCATATACCAAGGCCATTCACTTTAAGAAGATTAAACTTTGGTAGAATTGTGTCTGTAACATTCCAGGAAAAATACTATCTAGTCTGCCAGTTCCACCTAGATATCAGTTCCTAGATTCAGCAAGGGACACAAGGTCGCTTTTTACATCTGTGTTGAGAAATCTTTTGTCAGTTGGAGTAACACATTTAAGATCTTCTGAGTAAGTGCTATGTACACTATCACCCTACAGAACACAATCTAGGAAAATGATGTAGGTCATAAAGTGGATAACTAGGAGGAGTGGCTTTGCAAGTCCTCTGTGAATACAGTTTTCTATATAGTATCTGCATTGGTTCTCACAACTCTTATGGGACCTCCCTCGAAATAAAAAATTCAAATCCTTAAACAATCCTGCTAGCTTTCAAACATATAGATATAAGATTTGATGACCACATCACCTGCTATTTAGGTCAGACGCATCCTTCAAGTCAGTATTCTACAGATCCAATAAGTTGACTTTCCTTCAAGCCAAACTCTCCAAGTCAGGAAAAGAGTTAGCACAGCTTAGAAGTCTGGAAAAGTTTTATCTGGACACACCAGTTGGATTCAGGAGAGTCTGTCTATTTCCTTGAGAATAGATAAATAGAACAGGCTTTCAAAAATGCAACAATTCAAAATGACCACTCATTCTAGGTGGCATTGTCCAAGCATATGTGATCTTAGAGAAATAACCACCATTATTTTACTTAGAGGAAGAGCTACAGTGACTCAGGCAACAGAGCATACCTGCATGTGCACACTTAAAAATTAAGATTCCTTATTTTCTACAAACAGGAATTCCCTTCAAACGATTGGTTTCTTAACATACTAGTTTCAGTTGGACTCTTCTACCAAATTCTAACATGCTCATGAGGTTGCTTAGGCGAAAACGGAGATTAATTTATAATTTTTGAGATGTCCAAAGGACTTTGCATCTGCCTCAGCTTCAAGATAAGCATGAAAATCAAAGGTTTTTGCCTTACAATATCAATTGAGGAAATAGATAGTGCATTGCATGGGTTTACTGAATTCTTCCTGTTCTCACAGTTCTGCTGTGTTTTGGTGTTGTTCCAATTGTTCAATATTAGTTAACAAAAAGTATCTAGTACGTGGTGGTGAGTCAAAAAGCTTACTTTTCCAATGTGTCTTGAACAGGCAGGGTGACCCCTCTCCCATGAGAAAGAGAGGCAGAGCGATAAAGAGAAATTGATAATTGGAGTCTTCCTGTTTATGGTAGAGGAAGGTATCATCTGAAGGTAAGAAATGTATTCTGGGATTCTAAGGTTAGATAGTCATGGTAAGGAAAATTCAATTTTCTCCATAATGAGACAAACAGCTTGTTCAACATAAAAGATTGACATTGTTCCATTTGACTCCCTTGAAGCCAATAATGTCGAAGTTTAAAGAAAGAATTTTAGCCTTGGGTATCTGGAATAAGCATTTCTCCATCTACGTATGTGACTTGGCTTCATTGTTTCTTGACATTTTTAGTTCACATAAATGCAATAAATAAAGGTGACCAAGACTAAATTTTTCTGTTCTCTTGTTGGTTATATAAAAATGAGGACAGCAGGAGAGTAATTTCTTCTCATCATATACTGTATATCTCTTGTCCTAAAGGCACAATAGTGTGAGAGAAGTTCATTCTCAATGGCTTTTTGATAGCATCTGAGCTGCTGAAGGCTAAACTACATGTTACTTGGGAAACACAAGTTTTCCCTGAAGGGACATTTGCAAAGGAAGTAACCAGAAAGAGGAGAGTGATTAAACTATTCCCTTATCTGCAGATCCCTTTTACCCTAATGCGCTTCCTGATAGGTATTTTGTCCAGGTTCAAACTACATTTGCACGGAGAAAGCAGGTACTCAAATAACTATTACTTTGTCTAAGAAAGCATTTTAAATACATGGTAATTAGTGTTGTTGTTGTTGTTTATTAAATTTGTTTATTTGGCAGGAGAGTGTTTGGTTCCATTTTACAAAGAGTATATTGATCCTTTTCTAGTGTGTGCACAAATTAGAGTCTTTCCAAGATATTTCTACGTCTTGGTTGACATCTAAAACTATACAAGTATTACGTAATTGCAATGGATGACTTTTTTCACAAACCATATTGAATGTGGCTTTCTCGTTCATCTTTCTTTTTTACCAGTAGTTTTGTAGAAGAAAATTTCCTAATGGATTGAACCTGTTAGGCATATCTGCTTTTCGCTCTGCCTCTACTCTCCCCATGTGTTACTGGTATTAAAAACCTGTCGACTCACTTTGCCTTATAATTGTATTAAAAATCTGTCAACTCACTTTATCTCATAAAATGACAACTATTACTATTATTCAATTAAGTATAAAGATAGAACCACCTTGGGTGTTCATTGCTCTTTCCCAGTTGACTTGTCAGTTTCATAGAATCACATAGTCGAAAGAAACCACAAGGGCCATCCAGTCCAAATCTCTGCCATGCAAGGATTTCCCAATTCATAAGGCAGTTCTTCATGTGATTTACTTTCTGTTCTGTTGATTAGCATAATTGTCATTAGATTCCTTTTAAGTGCTAATATTCTTCTTAAATTACAGTCCTAGAACTGAATATAATTCTGTTGTTGGATGCTTCCAAGTCAACTCCAACTTAGGGCAATCTTTTCAGAGGATTTTATTGGTAGGATTTAACCAGAAATGGGTTGTTTGCCTATATCTAAGACTAAGAAAGAGTGACTTTCCCAAAGCCATCCAGTGGGTTTCCATTGCTAAGTGGTGATTTGAACTTTGGTTTTTTGAGCATGCTAGTTCAAACAGTACATCTGCTACACCATGTTGGCATTTTTTTTAAAAAATCAGGAAGACTTTATACCCACTGCATAAAAATATAGAGCACATCATGACTTTGTGTGATATCCTTGTGCAGGGGCCATGCGAATCTTCTCTGTGTTGTTTCAATATTAGTATATGTGCTACCAAAATCATGCTGGCTAATTTTTAACAGTGTCAAAATGGGTGAAGGCAGACACAATATAAAGAACATGTCAGAGCATAAAGTATAAGCAAACTCTTGAGGGATGAAACGATCCAGAGGGCAGCTGCCATTGCAATCCTGAGGCAGCAGTGATTGCATATTGTGGAGATGGGTTTATTTCAAAGGAACATAGGTGAAATATGCATAAACCACATCTGATACCAAAATCATTATTTAGAGTTGTCATATCTAAACTCAGAGACTAATAGACTCACTTTGGTTGGAGGTTTCTAAGCAGAAATCAGATGGATACCAGGTATACTTTAGCTGTGGATTTCCTACTTCAGCTTTTTTGCTTACTTTTGTATTTTAATTGATGTGTTTTAACTGTCTATAATTCTATAGATTGGGGTTCTCAAACTTTTTCAGCCCCAAAGCCCTTTTTGAAACAAAAGTTTCTCGTGGAGCCCCAATAAATGTTTGTAAATTTTATTATATATTATATAATATATAATGTATATATAAGGCAGAGGTTCTCAACCTGTGAGTCCCCAGATGTTTTGGCCTTCAACTCCCAGAAATCCTAACAATTGGTTAACTGGCTGGGATTTCTGGGAGTTTGGGGTCCCTAAAACACTTGGGGACCCACAGGTTAAGAACCACTGATTTAAGGCATGTGCAAGCTTTTTGACCAACATTATTATTATTTATTTACTTTGCTTATATACCGCTGTATCTCAAGCCCGAAGGCGACTCACGGCGGTTCACAAACAGTAAAAACAGTAGAAACAGCAGTGGTTCCATACAACATATAACAATTGACTTAACACATTATCCATAAATTACCAATAAGCAGTTACAATGCACAATTATTACAAAAAACAACCGTACCCAATCTTCTCATCATCCAAGCGTAGTCCAGGTTCGTCGTCCCTTGTTCCATTCCTATGTTCCATTACCAGATTGCACTAAATTACTCAAACGCCTGCACAAACATCCAGGTCTTCACCTTTTTGCGGAATACCATTAGAGATGGTGCTAGTCTAATGTCCGTAGGAAGGGCGTTCCACAGCCGAGGAGCCACCACCGAGAAGGCCCTATCTCTCGTCCCCGCCAGCCGAGCTTGAGAAGCAGGCGGGATCGAGAGCAGGGTCTCCCCGGAAGATCTCAAACTCCTGGTGGGTTCATAGGCAGAGATGCGGTCAGATAGGTAGCTTGGGCCGGAACCGTTTAGGGCTTTAAAGGCCAACGCCAGCACTTTGAATTCAGCCCGGTAGCAGATCGGTAGCCAGTGGAGTTGGCGCAACAGGGGGGTTGTATGCTCCCTGCGCTCCGCTCCTGTTAAAATCATGGCTGCCGAGCGTTGGACTAGTTGGAGCTTCCGAGCTGTCTTCAAAGGCAACCCCACGTAGAGAGCGTTGCAGTAGTCTAAACGGGATGTAACCAGAGCGTGGACTACCGTGGCCAAGTCAGACTTCCCAAGGTACGGGCGCAGCTGGCGCACAAGCTTTAGCTGTGCAAATGCTCCCCTGGTCACCGCCGAAACCTGGGGTTCCAGGCTCAGCGATGAGTCCAGGGTCACACCCAAGCTGCGAACCTGCATCTTCAGGGGGAGTGCGGCCCCATCCAACACAGGCTGTAACCCTATGCCCTGTTCGGCCTTGCGACTGACCAGGAGTACCTCTGTCTTGTCTGGATTCAATTTCAATTTGTTCGCCCTCATCCAGACCGTCACAGCGGCCAGGCATAAACAGTATTTCAGTGGAAGACCCCAGGGGCCATCCAGTCCAACCCCTTCTACCATGCAGGAAAAACACAATCAAAGCACCCCTTGAATGGTGGGAAGGAAACAGGGTTTTAGGAGCATGCAGGGTGAGGGGGGGAAAGCTCTGGGCGGCGAGGAAGGTGAGGAAAAAGGCTTTTGAGGACAAGAGAGAGGGAGGCCTTTGGGGGCAAGGGGCGAGGAAAAGGTTTTTGTGGGGGAGGAGGCAGAGAGAGGGGAAGGAGCAGTAAAGAGGAGAGAAAACTTGGAGTGGGAGAAGGAGGAATGCACAGAGCCCCTCAGTATACTTTGTGGAGCCCCAAGGCTCTGCGGAGCACACTTTGAGAACCGCTGCTATAGATAGTTGAATTTTAGCAGCTTTTATGTTTCTGTGTATGTCTCTGTGTTTTTAATTCTATTTGTTTTAAATTTTGTAAACCAATATTAGACCCAATATTAGGATATCAAGGAGATTCTGATGGTGGTGGTGATGATGGTGGTGATTGTGATACTAAATAATCGTTTAGGCTCCTTCCAACTGTGTTGAGAAAACTCAACAGGAGTGTGGCAGGATTTTGCAACTGAATCATGAGTAGAATCCAGGAATGAGATATGGCATTTAAATTGTTCATAATAAAAGATATAGAAATCGCTACAATCAAGAAATATTTCCAAACACTATTTGAAGGGGTGGGTGTAGCATTGAATTCGTTTTGACCTTTGCAGACAAACATTATGATGTGTGCCTTTCCGAGAGGCATAACTCATACAATTCAGCTCCTTATATGTCCTTTTTTTTCACACACAAAACATCCAGAAGCAGTGCTGGCTTGTGTGACTTATGATATCTGTCAGAAAGGAATACAGTGTTTGTCTGCAAGATGCACTGGATAAAACCAGTTCTTTCCTGCCTTTCAGGAAGCCTTGGTTGAAACCTCTGAACCCAGGAGTTGAGTTTGAAACCATGCCTTCAGACTGTCATGCTGTTTCCCCACTCCCCACCCCAGCTAAGAAGCAGCCAGACACTTCCGTCTATATCCTGCATAGCACAAGCTGCCTGTTGCAGCTGGTAGTTATCAGCCGGAATGTGCATATGCACACACACATACACGTATACATGGATGCATGCAAAGGTCATTCATGGGAAAATCTCAAGTATCGGTTTTGAGGGGGGGAAAATATCTGCAATCTTTTTGGCCCGATTACTATTATTATTACTGTCTGCCCTTTGAGAAGGAAAAAGGAAGGAAGATTATAGCAGCTTTGCTATTAAATGAAAAGATTAACATGCCTCGGATGCTTTGCCAGGGTGTGATGAGATTTGCAGGAGATGAGTGGCTCTGAAGCGGGACTAATGAAAAGCAGCCCTCAAAAACCTTGCGGTTGTGTGGGGCCCCCATATTATCTTGTTTCTGTCAGCCCTGCAGCCTTCCAGCTATGTTTACTCATTCCCCACCAAAAGGAAATAAGCAAACAAACAAATGGAAAAGCTAGGCATTTTTGACATGTCTTTTCCTGAGGTCTTTGGAAGTGATCCAGCCTCTGACTTTGCATCTTTTGTTTCCTCTGTGTGTTGAAAGAAAAAACAATCTTACCCACACAAGCTAGTTTTAGATTTCATTACATTTTATTGGGGGGGGGGGGTGTGAATGTGAATTGGGGAAAGGGGGTGCAGATTTCTTGAAGGATGTACATGACTCTCAAGTGTCCATAGTTGCTAGAAAAATCTGAAGTGCCCAAGATGATTAGAGGTAGATCCAAGAAAGTGTTGGTCATTCCCCAGCTATCATTTTATGCATCTAAGTTGTTACTGATAACATGCTGATTATCCGAAAGTCCAGCTCCTTTGTGAATCCTCTATCTCAGTAGTTCTCAACCTATGGGTCCCCAGTTGTTTTGACCTACAATCCCCAGAAATCCCAGCCAGTTTACCAGGTGTAAGGATTTCTGAGAGTTGAAGACAAAAACATCTGTGGGGCCCACAAGTTGAGAACCACTGCTCTATCGGAATGCTTGCAAGTAAGAATATCAGCCAAAAGCTCATTTCTTCCTCATATATGTATATATCAGAAAAAGAGTCTGTTACTTGTTCTTTCATATAAGGGTTTGTTTGGATTATGGAACAGTTTTTGCTCACTCTACAAAGTATTTATTTATTTATATCCCGCCCTTGTCACCCTGAAGAGGACTCAGAACAGCCTTACAATTGGCAGCAATTAGATGCCATTTCAACAGACAATAAAATAAACATATACATTAAAAGAAAAAATTAAAAGCAATATAAACATTAACACACATTATTAAAATCATGCAATCCAAGGACATAGTCAAAAGCCGTTTCAGTTGTTATTGCACATAATTCCACTTCACTTATTGTTATGGAATCAAGAGCTGTTAGGCTCAAAAATAAGCCTCACTTGGGGGTGATTCCACAAAAATATAGCAGAGTGCTGGAAGCACAGTTCATAACCAGCAGAAGCTTATGTGTAGAGAGCAAGGATTAGTTTCCATTCAGCAAGATGAAACAGGATTGCAGAGCCACAATTTCATAGATTCTAAAAATCCATTCTGGATAGAAAAGGTTCTTGGAGCTAACTAGCTTCACTGAGCTATCTTCTAAGGAAAAGGAAAAGGAAAAGGAAAAAATAACAAAATAGTCATGCATCTACATCTTGCCTGGAAAATGGCAAGATGCCTCCTCACTCAAGGAGAACAAAGGAAGAGAGAGGGAGGCCAAAATGGAGAATTGACCACATGGCCTCACAGGAGCAATAAAAAATACCTTTAAGGAAGAAATTAGGTCTTCCCTGAAGATATCACATTGCTAAGTATTCAAAGGGGAGGAGATAGTGGCATGCAGGATGAGTAAGACAACTCCCCTTCTAAGCCCCTTCTTGAGATAGGCATGCAAAGGGAACTTGGGGAAGGAATCACTCATTCTAATCTATCTAGGCTAACTACTCATTGAGGGCTGGAGACTTGTACAGTCAGGGATGAAACCCAACACTTATTGCACTGCACTATTGGCCAAAGACTTGGTCCCAGAGCCAAGTTTTTAATTTCTTTCTGAAAGTCAGAAGGGAGGGGGCTGACCTGATTTCACTGGGGAGGGAGTTCCATAGCTGAGGGGCCACCACTGAGAAGGCAGTGTCCCTTGTCCCCATCAACCACACCTACCAAGGATGTGGGACCGAGAGCAGGGCCTCCCCACATGATCTTAATCTCCGAAATGGTTCATAGAGGGAGATA